AACCGACTAAAGGTGTAAAACATCAATTTCTATGTCGTCTGAGTTCCATAAACTAAAAGTTTCGTGATGTGAATGAAATAGTTGTAAATTTAGAATGTTAGAATATTTTCCTCACTTCATTATTATGCAAGGATTTTTGAATAACATCAAAGTCTATATTTCTATTGAGCAGGTTTTTCTGTTCATTTCTATTTGCATTTTCAATACACCGAGAAAACATCTAATACCATTAATGATTCGTTTTACACTAAATTTGAATTCTAACTCTAGCGTCTCCTTTACGGTTCCACATTAATAAAGGAATTTAATCATTTATTCTGACGAGTATAATGTCAAGTTTAAACATGAAGACAAACATGAAAAAAAGGTCTTTTAATGATCTAGTTTTTATTTTCAAAATTATAACAAATGTTTTTCGTATTCATCTTTATTCAAATCGGCGTATTAATATTCGAACAGTTTATAATGTTTACAATACATCACATGTGATAACAGATCATATACATAAGTATAATAAAACAAATTTTTCTCTAACGAAATGCCCCATATAAAAAACTCAACTATATCAGAACTATATTAATTCATCCACCCTTTTTAAAGTCATTCATTTTCTCAGAGTTCTTTTTAGTCTATTTAGATTTTTACTAGTGTACAAATTTAATTTCAATGATAGCAATATTATATTGGAAAAACATCTTGATATTTGCTGTAGGACTCGGAAATAATCACGTGGCAAACAACAGTATGTAGGAGTAATAGCAACTACTAAGAGGTCACTTGATTTACAAAAGGTACAAACATAGAAAGACACAGACACGTATACCAAATAACTGATTCTTTCTTTGTTAATAAAATGAAACCATATTTTCCACTTAAGCACAATTCTTACAATACTTGGCCATTTTCTTAAAACATAATTCTAACAATACCAGGCTACATGTAAACTTTGATAAGGATCGAACTCACGAGCTGTGATCAGTAAAACTCATCAGTCTCTCTCATAGATTCACAGACCCAACATAAATAAGAATCATTCATATTATGAAAGTTTTTTTTTTTGGATCATTTTGTTATGCATTATCTTTCTTTATTTTTCGCGAACTGAATAATGTGAGAAGATTTGAAAAGAAAGTTAAAAGAAAACATTCTTTCAGCTCTGAGCGCAGACGGTTAAAAGTAAATTTCAGTATTGAAAAGGTCTCCTCTTTTGTCGCTTCTGGCTTGTTTAGGTTGACACGTTTGTACATATTGATGTTAGTCACTAAGATTTTCATTATTAAGCAATCACTATCATTGATTCAGGAGGTTTTAAAGGATTTACAACTTCGAAATGAATATTATGAAATATTTACACTTAATTGCTTTAGTTCTTTCTTCTCCCTCGTGATCTGCCTTTGAATTACCACTTTATATCTATTCCTTACATGCATTTTACATGCATTTTACATGCATATCGATAGCTGTGAAAAGAAATGTAGAACCGTGATATCCGCTGTAAGACTCGAATATGTAGATTATTTATTCTCTAAACTAATGAGTTAAAGACAACCATAACTTGTCAATAATAAAGTAGTCATAACTAAGTGTGTTTTTAAGGGTTTACAGTATCCTACAGTGTTTCTCGTCTTATCATCGAAATTAAGTAGCATCGTGTTTGGTTAGTTTTAGCTTAACATGCATCAGTTATTGTGTCTTGTGGCAATGTCAGAAAAAAAGGCTTTTAATAGATCAGCAATTAACCAAGCATATCATATTATTTCCCGTAATTTGATTGTTTTTATGTTGTTCAAATATACACATCATTCAATTTATATGCGGTTCGATATTTCGAACTTATAGTCAGGCTATCCCATTTCTTATTTAGTATCTCTATCATTAAATGCTAAACGTATGCTTCAATCTATCGACCATTCAACTCATGAGGCAGTGTCTTTAATTTTGACGGCCATCCTATGTTTCTTACTCAGTGATAACCCAATTTTATGTTAGTCCCTTTTACATTACTTATGACGTAAAATTTCATATCAAGTGGGATAAAAGATTGAAAAAGAATTATAGAATAAATAATTCTACTGCTTTTTTTAAAATAATTGATGTCAAGATTTTATAAAAACCACTTAGTTATATGCAATAACAATCTTTGTAATTTGAGGGATAGAACATTTACACATCAACAAATGAGTAGGAAGTCAATCATTAACTGGAGTCAACCAGTTTACGATCATTGTCATATTCACTGAAATAAAATTTTCAATACATAATGTCTAGTATAACTTCATGATTGGAGGCAAATTTATTGACATTTTCACTCCTGGGTAAAAAATATTGTTGTTTATTGCCTAATTTGTAAAAGAATAACCTAGAGACAGATTTTCACTGATTTTTCATATTATTCGTACCATTAATCAAATAATCTTGGAATGTTTCTTCTTTTTTCAACTAAAAATCTTTTTAAGTTGTAATTATTTCACGTAGAAATAGAAGCTCAGTGAATCAAGTA